AAATCCCAATTTTGAGTGTCTGGATTAGACAACAAAGATGCCAGCTACCTGCTAAGGCAGACCCTTAGATAAATAGCATCACTCTCTCTCCTTGACTCAGTTTCTCTTTCTCCCTTTCCCTTACCTTTTCCTTTTATCTTTTTCAAATAAATATATAAATAAGTTGAAAAATACAGTTTTAGGGGTATGTTGTGGTGCAGCATACTTACCTCTTACGTGCAGCAGTCATACCCCAATTGAATGCCTGGAATCAGTTCCCAGCTGTGCTTGTTTCAGCTTCCTGCTAATGCATTTCAAAGGCAGTGGTTAATGACCTGACCAGTTGAGTTCCTATCATTCAAATAGAAGACATGGATGTACTTCCTGGAGACTGATTTCAGTCTAGCCCTGCCCCAGTGGTTTCAAGCATGTAGGGAGAGACTCAATGGATAGAAGATTTCTCTTTAGATGTGTGGATAAAATTTCTCTCTACCATTTAAAAATTTTTTTTAAAAATGCTTTAAAAATTTAAAAAAAGAAAAAAAAACACAAACATTCTACATCCAATATTTGGCTTGTTGAACCTAAGATATTTATACCTTAGTCATTACAGAAAATTCTGTATGCTTTTGTTCTCGGGTAACTAACTGAAAATAAATTCCTTGGGTCTACTGATGTGTCACGGTGGGAAGTTGCTAATGTGCTTGAGGAAGCTGTAGAAAATGGTCCAAATGCTTGGGTCCTTGTCACAAATGTGGAAAATCAAAGTGGTGTTTCCCATGCCTGGCCTTGGTCTGGCGCAGCCTGATTGTTGTGGCCTTGTGGTAATGGTCTAGTGCATGGAGGGTCTCTCGCTCTTTCCCTGCCCCCACCCCTTCTCCCTCTATCTGTGCTTTTCTATAAATAAAAAATAAATAAATACTTAAAAAGTGGAACAACAATGACAACAGCAAACACACCAACATTCTCATTTCCCCATATAAGTTTTCTGAAGAAATTTTCAACTGTCATATGATCAGGGGTAGGTTGCTAGGTTATTTTTATACAAGTCATAATTACACAAGTATATATGCCTTAATATTATTTATTATGCTCACAGGTGTACTGATGGCTTCAAACCAAGCCCCCATAGATAGTATTTGTGCATTTTCATCATGTGACTGCATCTGCCTTGACTACATTTTAAGCTACCAATTTTGAGCTACCATTGTGACATTAGTGAATAATGCTCTGGAAAAGAATGTGCAGGGTTTGTTTTTACCAGCAAGTTGGGCCAGCTCTAAATAAAGCCAATATGAACAAGTTATATGTTCCATGTCTGCATGTATATCTCATTTCATAATTATAAGTGAGATTTTTCTAATTCTTGACATTGTAATAGCATTAGACTTTTTTTTTTCAGTGAAGAACCAGGTTTTGGAAAAATAGTTAGCATCTTTTCATGCTATTTGATTTTTCCAATCTATTTTGTGAAATTAATTATACTGATTAAAGTGTGAAAAATTGTGAAAAATTGCTACTTCTACTTTTTGGCTACAAGAAGATCTTATCTCTATTGCTAAGATCATGCCTGGGAATGTAGAAGTCTGCATGAGACACAATAGTGCTTTCTTCCTTAAATAACACAACTCAAACCTGGGGAAACTGAACTTTATTTTGGGTAAATTGATGATTTCACAGAACTCTTGTTCAAGGTTGGATTGGATGGGAATTCTAGTAGGCCTAAGGACATAATGAAAGCCATCTAGAGTCAGAAAGTCCACCCTGTGGGGTTTGTGGCGGTCACTCTCTCTTTACCTAGAAGAGACAGTGTGGCGCTGAGAGAGCTCATTTCACCTAGTTCTTCTAGCAACTTACTGTCCCATATGGACACTGGCATTTCCTCCACCAGTGACACGGCGTTTCCTTTACTTTCTCAGTCTGACTCTCAGAAGAACTGTGTTTCATGGAGCGTCCCACACTCAAATACTGGGCCTTTCTTTTTCTTCCAACATATTGTAATAACAAGCTAGACTTTTCTTTGTTTATTTCATTTGCTCAGAATGTATGAACCTCAAATGCTCTGAATAAAGTATGATGGCTTTTGTGAACTAAAGAAATGCCCAAAAGTTGCTCATCTCTTCTCAGGGAATAGCTGTGGGCAGTGTGCTGAACAATAGCAAAATTCTCCTGGCTGCTCCATAAATGGCTACCTTTGTGGCACCATGCTTTTCTCAAATATAATGCTTCGTTAAAATAATTTCAATTGTTTTTAATTTTTAAATCAGTTTAAATTTTGATTAAAATTAAATTTAAAAAGTGAAAAAAATTCCCTGGGCAATTTGATAATAGAAAGTTGAAAGAATTATACATAATAGAATGGAGATTAAATTTGGATGATATATTAGGCAAAGTCAGTAAAATATGTAAATTGTAAGCAAATATAATATTAGGTATCTGATCAAAATACTGTCAGACTAAACATTTGGGATAGCAGGAGGTGTAATTCTTTCCCAAACCAAATGTTCCATTTAACTAGCTTGAGTTTCATTCTGAAGTCCTTGGCTTCTTAGTAGTGAAAAATAAGTCTTCACAACACTGTTTATTGTCCTCTCTGTTTTCTTCTGCTAAAATTTTTCCAGAACTGAAAAACTAACTGGTCACAATGCTTATAAAAGCAAAAGGAGCTGTAACTATGTGACACACATTTTTATTACTGATCATTTTTTTATTTGCTAGTTCTTGGCTACATTCCCCATAAATGATACATCACTGCTATCTTTATGAATATTGGATTCATAAATCTGCAGTGGAGAAAAATTCAAATATCAACTGATAGCTTTCTAGAGATTGAAAGAGAAAACGCTTTCTGCAGACCCAAAGGCATTAATGCAGCAAGTTTAAAAAAATCAAGAGATCATCCACAATCCCTGACAAATGAATCATGTTTTTTTAATTTCAGTTATCGAAGCTTTATGATGGGTTAGAAAGAGGATTTTATTTCACATTATCTCCCCTCTGTGTCCCTTAAAACAGATTAAGCTCTGTCCTTTAAATATTTACATTTAAATAAGAAATTTGGTTCTAATCTTGAATTCATATTGCATGGGGACATTCTTGTAGACTTATATTAAGTATAAATACAAGCATTTATAAAAGTGTTTGACTTGTACAAACTGAATAATGTATTTTAAATCTACCATAGACTATGACAGAAACCATGTGCTTTTCTGGACATTTTCTAAATTTGCTCAAAATCCGAATCATTCTGTGTGATCATTTATAACTCTATGTGTTTAGAAAGTCCAAACAATCATACATATGTGAGTTCCATTAGGTTTTGAGAAATGTTTATGGTTGCTGCAGAACTCTTACCTGTCCTATGTCTCCCCCCTGCCTGTGACCCCGTGCTATGGGCCACAATGCACTGGGTGGTGATAACAGCATGGCACGGATGCTAGCCCTCCACGAAAACTTATCTCTTAACAGTGTTTGAGGAAGTCATCATCAGAACAGAAATCTTTGAATAATTGCTAAATGAGTTGCTCCCAAATTCTCAGAGGGTAGCTAAATCCCTTCTTTAGTATAATGTTACATAAACATGTTTGGCAGCCAGTGACATTCATGAAGAAAAAAGAGAGAGAGAGAATTTCATAGAATATTGCTATGGGCAATGCACTTCAAATATTCCTCTGTTTCTAGTTTTGTCTTCAAGAAGCACATGTTTCTTCTGCTTTTTGATAAAATTAATTCATTAGGGCAATAGTAAAAGGGGTGAATGACCCTCTTCATTGTTGCAGATATTCTGTCTGTGGATAAGCAGGACAATCAGACCCTGAATTAATCTGTCTCTTAATTTCTTGAGATGTTCACATTCTCTTTTGTAGCTAAGTTCATTCTTTCTTACCCTGCAGAACTCACCCTGAATTTTGCTAGTTTCTTTGTGTTTCCTTGAACTTCAACCTTGAGTCTTTCGTTGCATCTGGAGACTGACACCACCAGCTCCCCTTTGCTTTCTGTCACAAGGCTTGGGCTGGCCTCATCAGCTTGACTGCCCATCCACAGTGCCTACATTCGGCCCTTTGGATACTCTGCTTAAAAATAAAATAGGATAACATCTTGAGCTCATCATACTGAGGTGGAAATGTTGACAGTAATTCAACAAGCAGCTCAAGAGTGAAGTCGGTGCTGGCAGTAATTGTCCTGGTCATCACTTTACTAAAGGAGGTGTACTGAGAAAGAAGAAAGACATTGCAGCAAAGCACCACTGGCATTTTAGGAAAGAATTTCTTCTCTTTTCAAAAACACAACTATTGAGAAAATAAAGTAGAGAAAAGCAGAGAGAGAGAAACAGAGAAAGAAGCAGCTGATAGGAAAGAGAGGACAGTATTAACAGAGACTGTAAATCTCAGAGAAATAAATTAAGGATAGGAATTTTTCCATTGTCATCATGCAATACTTGTGGAGGAATGATGAAGAAAAATGTGATTTCAGTGAGAAATACATGCAGCACCAGTGAGAAGGGGACATGTGATGGAATCATGTCTCTTTTGGCTCAAGAAATTGTCAGTCTAATGGTCTATAGGACAAATTTTAACCATTCATTTTTTGTATTAAAATTTCAGCTAAGAGTCTTGAGTTGATTCTTAAGAAGGAGGAGAATTGTAACAGATTAACCTGAACAATTGAAAACAGCATCCTCTTGTTTTTTCAAGTTTCCTCTGTCCTTAACTCCTACACAGAACATGGCCATGCTTTGTTTTCCTTGCACCAGTGACATTTTTTCAGTGCTTCATGGTTGTGATAATTGAGTTCAATTCCTGTTTTGTTTTCATTAATTTAACAGTTGTGCCAAGATTTTTGGAACATCATTTTTTAAAATAGGGATTGTCTGTTCTATTTAATTGATTAGGACATGAAAAAAATGAAATACAAAAAAATAAAATAGGCACTTAATTAGCTTTACAAAATAAAATTTGTTTTAATGTTAGATTATTAAAAACTGTTTCTAAAATTTTTCATAAATCTCTTTTGAATCCTAGGTATTGCAATTTCAGATGAACTTGATAAGGTAAGTTACACTGTCTATTTGATAAAAATAAAATGTAAAATTTATGCTTTGATCTGCTGTATAAATTCAAAAAGTTTCTAAAACATGTGAAATGCCCAAACATAATTTATTTGGTATTAAAATTTGAAACTTTCAAAGTTATGTACTACAATCTTTTAGGAAATTGTTGTATGAAATGTATATCAGACACTCTTTTGAGTTCAAGTCTTTTAGATTTTGGTCAGATAAAATGGAAAGTGGAATAATTGTAAGTACTGAATTACCACATGAAAAATGAAAACAAAACAAATGACATAAATTATTTGAATTATGTCCAATATAAATAATAATGATGATGTGGAAGACAGTTATACTTTCCTTCAGTTACCCACTGGAGACATTACTTAGTGATGACCTTTTCATTATTTTGATTTTGCAAGATGTTGGGAAAATTTGATGGTACGATACAAGTTTGATTAAAATGTATTTCAACAGCAGTGTAAGTGGAACAACTACTAATGGGTGTGTTTGGGCAGTGATCATTCCTGGGACTGGGAGATGAGCAACTGCAAAATGGGAAATCGGGGAGGAAGCAGATTTGTTTTGAATTGCCTGTTAAAACTTGTTGCCGTGAGTTGTTTCTTATGGAATGTATTTTATTTAGATACATATTTAAGAGTAATTGGAGAAAAGGTTGTTTTCTAATTTCTTTGGGACCTCAGGACCCCTTCTCACTCTTGAAAATTATGGAGAACTGCAAGGAGATTTTGTATATGCAGATTGCATCTGTCAATATTTTCTGTGTTAGAAATTAAAACGAGTAATATTTTTACAGGCTTTTTCATTAAACACCCAAACAAAGCAGTGAAAGGGTTGCATCATGACCCAGTGGGTTAAGTTGCTGTGTTTCTAATCTAATTTCCTGCTAATGCACGTGAGAAGGCAATGGAAGCTGGTCCCACGCTAGCACACACATTTGGGACAAGGAAGTAGTTCCCGTCTTCCGACTTTTGCCTAGCCCGGCCCTGGCTGGAGATTTCTCTTTGTTTCCCCTTGCCCATTCTCTGTATCTCTAGTCCTTTTTGCCTACTTTTCCCTCTTTCTCAATGTGCCTCTACCCAAAAATGAAATATTAATAAGCAAGTGATCCAGTTTACATTTTTCAAAGTCTTTAGTGTTAGACACAGTAGAAAATTGCTGGATTTTTATCTTTTTCTGTGTTTAATTATTTGTAACATGTTTTCCCTGCATAAAAACATGATAATAAAAATCTGAATAATGAAGAAGCACCTGCAAATACTCATTATCAATATTCAGCAAATTTCAATCCAGGAAGCCTTCACAGACAGGTTGAAATTTGGCTGGTGGTTTGATATACAGCTGGAAAGAAAACAACAGAAAGAACTGAAGAAAAAATAGGATCTTACACACCGTGACATTTTAAATAATAAAACATCATGTAAAAGCTGTATTATTTATACAAAATAATAAAGTTAATATGCTACTTCAAGGGCCTTTTGAAGCTTGTACCGTAAAAATAGATTTCTGGTTCACTGAAACATTAATGAGTATGCTTTTGAGTACAAGTTTTCTTTAATAAGCCAACATCATATTTTAAAATATCTTCATCTCTACTCCCTGTGGATCGGGTCTGGAGTATCAACAGCAGTAAGTGTGAGTGTGTTCTCTGGGGTCTGTTCAGCTTTTCTTGTCCATTCTGAGAGTCTCTTATTATCTTGCCATGTTGGTCTATTTTTCTCACCACCTTCTTTATAATTTGTAGAAACTTAGCAATCCTCTTCTTTGTGGTGAGAGTCAACATTCATTTTTAGTACAAAGATGCAGGCATCACCATTTCCAATTCATTTTCCTCTCCCAGTATTCTATCACGCCCGGGCTGCCTTGTTTGTGCAGCAGCCAGGGCAGAGCTCTTCCTCCACTTGGCTCACGTCTCTTTTTCAGTGTGCTCTACTCATAGCAGTGTTAGTGCGCACAACTTTTTGTTGTTGTTGTTGAGCTAAATGAGTTTTTGAACTAAAACGAGTTTACATATGGATAAGCTATGATGCCCTGACACTTGCCTCAGTATTTCCTCAGGACATATATTCTCTCCCTCGTACCCCTTTTCCTCCCAGCGCTTGGTCAGGGATGTGTTCATTTAACTTAACTCTGGGATACTGTCAGTCTTCATTTACTTATCTAATATTCCTATTTTTGGAGACTTTGTGAAAATTGCTTATGACAAATATTCTTATAAGCTAGCTTTTATTGGAAAAATTATTTATGTCCTTGCCAAATATTTGCTGGTTTTCGAGTGGCAGATGAGAATCAAGGCTTCAAGAGCCATAACCAGCATCCAATGCTTGAAAACTGCTGTGGGATGAGAGCCTGTCCAGGAGCACCCTCTGCTGACCATGAAGCTTATCGTTCTAAATGTTCCTAAATAAGAGAATGCGACAAGCAGCTACTATAGAACAGCCAATCAGAGTGATCTAGGGTTCGTGTTAACCTACCACCTGTCTTTAACATAACGTTGAAAATAAGCACAGTGTCTTCCATTGATTTCCCCTTATTATTTTTAAGCATTCACTGAAGACATCTGGTTCTGAACATTTATCAAATATTAACATTTTACTAACATATTGTGACTCAGTGATCATTTCATCGAAAGAAGTTTTCTGTGACCTTTAATGATAGTTTATGAATTTTCATAGACAATGAAGTTATTAATTCTAGCTAGAAATTTTAAAATAAAATCAAACAGAAATGTTAAGACTTTCTCTTCAATTGTGAGAACTCTAAGTTTTTTACTTGTTAATTTATTGTTTTCCTTCCTTAGTCACTGTATTGATTTTCTGTGGTGCGATGACAAATTGAAGCACCATAAATCTGTTGTGTCACAGTTTTTAAATTAAATTTATTTACTTTATTATTTTATAATACGGTTCCATATGTCTTTGGACTTTTCTTCCCTTCTCCCCAAATCCCTAATCCCAGCCGATCTCTCCTCTATCAATGCAATAGCATACTCCTTCACTAACACTCATTAGTCAACCATTCTGCTACTTAAGTGTATCCTGACTCTGTAGGTATGGACAATGGCAGAGAGCCCAATATCCTATTGTGAAGATATATCTAACAGTTTCATTGGGATTCCATTTTGGTTTGGAAGCAGAGCTACATACTGCATTGTATCTTCACATCCGGATGTGATGGTCTTTCTTACATAGTTACTATACATTCCCTTAAATGAAAAGCCATAAAACAAAATTAGCAACAGGAAAAAAATAGAAAAGTAACAACAACATGAAATTAAATAACATGTTACATTGAATGACCAGTGTGTCACTGGAGAAATGAAAAGGAAAATCAGATCAAAAATCTTGAAGAAAATGATAGCATTGTGTAACCTATGAGTCAGTGAGGAAATTAATAAGAAAAATACTTTTATGAATGAATGAAAATAAAAAAGTCAAACCTCTGACATGTAGCACAAAGAATATTGGAAGGACTTTTGATCCTGTATGTTGCATGAAGGATGCCTTGTATCAGAAAGAACATATATTTGCCTTTTTGGTATGCTCAGTGAAATATGTTTCATGGTTCTTTAGGTTTCAAGATCAATAGGAATCTCCTGAAATTGATATCCAAGAGTCCTCAATGATGTTTGTTTCTTGATGATGCTAGGAGGAGATGGTTTCCTCTGTTTTTCTGACTTCTAGAGGATGCCTTTTTCCTTAGTTCATGCATGCCCTCTTGCTTCATCTCTAAAGCATCAGCTCATCTCTCTATAACTTTATTCAGAAAAAGATCTCTACTTTTATGGAATCATGTTAGCTTAGGGTCTCCTGGCCAATTAGGTAATATTTCCATTTCAGTTTCTTTATCATAATCCTGAAAAAGCCTCTTGCCATATCATATATGCACAGGTTTTAGGGACTTGGAATTGAGCACCTTCGGGAATCCATCATTCTGCTTGTACAGCCAGTATCTAAATTAAGATGATACAATCATTCACATACACATAATCCTTAGGGTGTCTGTGTTTCAAAATGCTTCAGAGTGAACACAGTTGGTGCCTGTCTCACTAACCTGTTCTGCAGTGCCATGACTATCCTTCAGTTACTCTGAGTGCTGTGTGGTCAAGGATACCTGAGTGGGTCCTCGACCTGTGTGTAATGATATACAGCTTTCAGATGCTGTTCACCTTGTAGATGTCTGTGGATTCAGGCTGAGTGTGACCTCAGCAAGATCTGTATCTTTGTCATAGATCCTCCCGACTGTCTCCTGCTTGCCTCATTTTCTGACCAGGTTTGCCTGATAGAAATCGTTCCATGAGTGGTTTTTCCAGCAGTGTTCTGGAGAGCCCTATGTGCATATCTTCCTAAATCATAGTCCTGATTGAAACTTTTTCTTTGATTCCCTGCTCTGGGACAAACTAGAATTAACTGTCTTTATATTGTGGCTCAGATCTATGTCTTATGTTTTATCTACCAGTTTTGTTTTGTCTTTATCCAGAGACACGAGTCTCATCTCTACTTAACCAGGAATAGAAAACAAGTATCCAGGCTGCAGTGACTCCAGGCCATGTCATTTATTTCCACATTTTTATTTGTGTTACTCCTGGAGCTCTTTCTGTTGCCTGTCATTGAAGCTCCAGTCTTCCCTGACCAGCTTGCAGAGTTTGCTCTTGCCTTTCATGCTCCTTTGGAGAACACGGTGACTGCATCCCAGTGACACTTTCTGTGGGTATTTGTTTGTGTCACTACTTGAAGAAGTAGGCTAATATAATGGAAGAACATAGAGATAAGATTTTTATTGAATCGTGGCGCCCACCACTTAATGACTCTATGGCCTTCAGCAACTTATTTATAGATGTTAAGATTTAGCTTTCTGCTCTACTAAAATGCAGACATTTTTAGTACTTACTAAAGATAATATTAATAACGTAACATGAAAATGTTAGGTAGAATGCTAAAAACCCAAAATATAGCACATTTCAGTGATGTATGTGGGGCAAT